CAAGGAATTAACTGCAGTTGTTTTGCCCTTAAAGAAACATGACAGTAAAACCTTCCTCTGTTCGAGTGTTGTTGTTGCTTAAATGTGGCCTAAGATTCCTACGAAAACCACTTTCCCTCCTACATGGGACATGATATACTTGGAAATGAGCCTTCCCAGTGACAGATAAATGAAGCTTTCAACAACTGATCAGTGTTGCTTGCCAATGGTTAATCAGAGATGCTTTCAAAGAAAGATCTCAATCAAAAGGGAGAAATATGAAAAATGAAACAAATGGAGCCATTTCAAAATGAAGCCAGAGCCACCTCCCCAGAGAAAAGGTTCTGCACACCTTGCTCCTTGAACCTTTGGACAGTTTGACTTCGGCAAAATAACCTTTGGACAGGGCCAGACCAGCCTTGTCTCCTAAACAACTGTTTGTGGAGCTAACAGGAAAGCAAACATCCTGATTACAGAGACTGAAGATTACGGGCCTTTTTTAGAATCAGTAAGCATCCATGTAGAGTTCTGGGTGCCTATAAGCACCAATAGAAATTCATTCCTTCTTTATGTAATTATTTCCTTTCCCTTTCTCATACAACCCTTTGTCTTCATCCCATAATCAGAACACAATTTGGATTTCTGCCTAATTTAGTGCATCGTGAATACCTAGCTATTCTTTGAACTCAAAAAAATGCTGTTGCCTCTCAATTTGACTTTTTATTTTTAGGTTAACAATGTAATTGAGAATTGCTGTTGCCATTAATATTTTTAAAAAACAGCACTATCTTAAGGCCTCCTTAACACATATGATGTCTTTGCTGGTGACCTGAACTCTGAGCAGAAATCAGAGAATGTTGGGAAAGGAAACTCAACTCAGGGGCAACAGAGAAGCAGTAGGAGGCAATAGAATGAATAGATCTATTTTGGGGGAAATCTGACTTTGAGACTAAATTCACCATGTGGACCATGGAAAAGTCTATTGGATACTCCAAAACCCTATAAAATAAAAGCATTTAGATAATCCCAAATATTCCAAAATCCTGGTATTTGATTTTATAAGAGAGAGAGAGAGAGAAACATTTACTCTAAGAACAATTTTGAGGATGATCACCTCAAAAATTAAAGATCAAATCTTCCTTCTTTTGCAGCCAAACTCAACATTTAACTTATCCTATTGTCATTCCATTTATTTTTTAATTGAATTTTTGGGTGACATTGGTTAATAAAATTATACAGATTTCAGGTGTCCAATTCTACAATACATCATCTGTATATTGTATTGTGTGTTTACCACTCCAAGTCAAGTGTCCTTCCGTCACCATTTATCCTTCCTTTACTTTCTTCTACTTCTCCCCGTTCCCTCTGACAACCACCATACTGTTGCCTGTGTCCATGAGTCTTTCTATTATTTATTCTTTGCTTAATCCCTTTACCAATCTCATTCAGCCCCCAACTCCCACCCCTCTGACAACTGTTGGTTTTCTGTACCTATGAGTCTGTTTCTGTTTTGTTAGTTTATTTTGTTCATTAGATTCCACATTCTATTTTTTAGACTACATACCTGTTTAAAATTCTTGTCTCATTTTCTATTGTAGTGTATAATTTATACTATGTTTCCTCAGTAATCCCTACTCTACTTTAATATTTTTAGTATATCTTTATTTGTTTTTCTTTTTATTCTTTCTCATATATCATTTATTTCTCCATGAATAGGTTTCTAGCTTTTTTGTTTATAGATTATCTTTCCCACTACCTTACTTTGTGATAGAATTGCATAGTTGGGTCAATTACAAAGATTGAAATTAAAATGTTTGTATTTAAAATAATTGCTTGATGGATGACAAAGGCCAGTTCCTACCAGAAGACTATGTCCTCTCCTTGAATGTAATACACCTGCTTTTCATGTGCTCTGTCTTCTAATTTGTCTGTATTTCTTATTTTCACAATGTTCTTTCATTTCATCTTCTTTCAAATCTTTGATCCTAATTTTCTAGCCCCTTCATTTTTTTATTCTTCCCTCTTAAATAACAGTGGGACACATATGCCCTTTCCACCAGTGTCCTCAAATCTTCTTTCCAATACCAAGGCTTAGGACTAGTCTAGACAAAAGTATGAAGAAAGAAAAACACCTTTCTTTGCCCTTTCACCTCCACTTAGGATTGTCTTTCCTTCTCCTTTTGGCACCACTATTTTCTAAAGGTCTCTTGTGTTCCTCTAGTTCCAGGGGTCCTCAAACTTTTTAAACAGCGGGCCAGTTCACTGTCCCTCAGACCGTTGGAGGGCCAGACCATAGTTTTAAAAAAAACCTATGAACAAATTCCAAAGCACACAGCGGCGGCAAAAACACCAAGTGGGCCGCATAAGTGTTTTCGGCAGGCCGCATGTGACCCACAGGCCATAGTTTGAGGACCCCTGCGTCTAGTTCAGTGGTTCTCAAACTTCTGGCCCTTTAAATATAGTTCCTCATGTTGTGACCCAACCATAAAATTATTTTTGTTGCTACTTCATAACTGTAATGTTGCTACTGTTATGAATCATAATGTAAATATCTGATATGCAGGATGGTCTTAGGCGACCCCTGTGAAAGGGTTGTTCGACTGCCAAAGGGGTCGCGACCCACAGGTTGAGAACTGCTGTGCTAGTTGGTCATAATGGGTTCAAGTGACCCCTCTATGTTACCCCAAATTCTGGACTTTTTCTAATCTTTCTTCCTGCAACAAAAACTTTTCTGCCCTGGGTCCCATTCTCTTAGGGTGCACCTAATTTCCCTATCGCCTGATGCCAAAATGA